TATGAAGTAAGGGATGCCACAATCGTGCAAGTGAAGGGAGATCTTGGGCAATTTATGTCGTAATATTTGTAATAAGAAATTCCTTATTTTAAGGAAAGACATGTTTTCTAATAGACATACGCTACTTGCCTAGCTAGTTGATCTTGTTAGGGTTTCATCATTGTATTTATGAAAGCTAAAACAAATAAGGGTGCGTCTGATTGCGATTATGCAGTTTGCATGGAAAGAATTGTATGAAAATTATTAATTAAATATGTTTGATTGATTTAGTTTTTAACCTAATAAATGTTATATTTGTCAATTTTTTATTGATGGGTAGATGAGAGAGAAATGATATATGAGAAAAAGGAAGAGAGAATGAATTACCAGTAAAAACTACCCCTCCTTAAAAAAATATTTTCCTTGTTTTTTAGGAAAATATAGTTACATGATTAAAGGTTGAAAAATATTTTCTATGGAAAAATTTGTCATTTAAACATCCCAAAAGTAAGAATTTGGATTAAAAAATAATATTTTTCATGAAAAATAAAGCCAATCAAATACGCTCTAAGTTTTTTCTCTCCTATAACTTTTAAATTTTACATAAGATAATTTAAAATTATATTACAATAGAGAAAATCTTAAAATCAAGTTGTTCTACTCATTTATGAAAAACCATAAACCTATCAAGCTTGAATGAAATATTGACCATTTTAAGATGAAATACCAAAATTAATGATCTTCAAAGGTTATACAATTTTTGAGTCGTTTCGAGGAAAATGTTACAAGTCAGCACAAGTTTTGGATAACAAAACAATTTTTTTTTTTTTTTTATATGAATAGATAATCTAAAACTTTCTTGTGTGTCCTAAAAAAAATCTAAAACATTTTACTTTGTCCTAAATAATGCAACTTCAAGAAAGCAGAAAGCCAGAGCGAACAGCATGTGATTTATTCATTCTTATTACCCTACATAAGATGTGGCTTCAATTCAATCCTATAGTCAGTCAACGCAATCAATTGAAATGGTAGCAAATTCAAAGGATGTGGGAAACGAGGGCCGTGGGGGCCCACTCCCAAAGTTTACTAATTTTTTTTTATTTTTTTGGCATTTTGAAAATTTTTAATAAAAAAATAACTTATAAGTCTAGGAGCATTAATTTGACAAAATACAAAGGATAAACTCTCTATAATTTTCTAGTACAGCACAAATGTAATAAAAGTATTCATACAAAAGTGATAATGATAGGTAGAATACCATACATACACTTCATCTCTATCATATATATAATTGATTATGTTTAGTGTCTACTAATCAAACGCAAGACACACAACTAGATGGTGATACATGCATAAAAATAATGATATCTTATCACCAAAATTTTATTAGTTTCATATAAAATCTACTATATAGTAATAATAATAGCGTAAGTAAGAACGTTTAGTTATTAAAAAAGAGAAGAGTCTGATAATCGATAGCACTTTCAGTCGTTTGTTATTTGTTGTTTACATTGAAGAAACGAGAATTTTGGTTAGCCATGTAATTTCTCTTACCTTAGCATTCGATCATGCAAACTAGCTAGTAGGGTATATCTAGTCATTAGAGTAGTGAACCATATGAATCCATGCTGGAGGGGAGGGGAGGGGAAATCTAATCAATGAAGAGGTAACAGAGATTGGAGAGGTAGTCGGTATTCAATCATCAACTTGGCTTTCCTAATCAATCTCTCAGACAACCAATTTCAAAAGCAGGAAAATGAAAATCGCGTCACTCACTTTTCTCACCTTTTGTTTTGTGTGAATGCAACAAGATTTTTATTCAGGTCGGACAAAATTAAGTAGCTACCGACCTACTTCATGCAAAAGACTGAAGACATCTATAGTTAATATATATATATATATATGAAAAAAGAAAAAAAGTTTGAATTTTAACCTTGAGGGATCCCACTGTCCCACTCCTAGAGCTTTGTGAGGGAGGTAAATCGCGAGATGTACTACAGCAGGCTAGGAAACAAGAGCTGTCTGTACACTGCGCCTACAAGGAGTCCAATTTCATGTCTCAAAAATCGAACCCCTACATTGCGGCTACCAATAAAACGTGAGATAATTTCACTCATATCTTTTGTACCACTGGACTATACCTCGGAACATCTATAGTTCATTTTACTTGTAATATAATAGAGATATCATGATGTCCGAACATGCTGAAATCTCGAAATAATATTCACCGACAACTTTTAGCTCTAGGATTGATGCCACGAAATTGAAGAAATGATATTCCGCAGTATTTGACTAAGACTCTTTAATATGTTTATAAATTATTTGTAATCAATCAAATCACTTTTTTATTCAATCAATTATGAAATTTACAAGAAAAAGCTAGAAATCCACTACTCATTTCTAAATTATTTTTAATTTGAACCATTTATAAAGCATTCACAGATATAAAGTAAATGTTGGGTTTATGACCCAAATTACGGTGAATTTTTTTTAAAATAAATTGTTTTTTTATTTGCACGTGGAAAAAATATTATTTTCTTATTTTGACGTGATTTTATTGGAAATATATTATTTACATCTTTAGATATGGTATGTATCTATAAATATAGATCTCCTCTTTCAGTTTAGTTTAAGTCAAACTGTTGTATCGTTGTATTCTCTCCACATTGTTAATTAATAATACATCTTATTTCTGCGTTTAACTTTCTTTTATTCTTTACTTTAAACATTGATATATATTATTATATTGTTGCAATTCATATTAACTTCATATCGTGTCATTAATTTCATTCTTTACAACCCCTCCGTCTCAACAGTAAAATTACTTTTATTGTTAAGCTATAGTATAATGCCACTGTTTGGTAAGAATCAAAATTTAGATTTTAATATAAGTTAAGGTCAATAATTAATTTTAATTATATATTTTAAGAGATTCACAATTTTTCAATCATATATTTTATTAGCTTTTATCAAAATTTATTAAAAACCTAATTTTAATCCAGAGGCAATATTTTTCTTCTATCATGCTATATAAACATTAACGTTGACATAAAACTTGATATAATACCACGTAATATTTTATTATTAGACAATTTAAAATGAATTCAACATTTTTATCTAATCATCTATCAACACGTAGAATTATGACAGCTTTTTGTCGAATCCTTTTAACAAAGTAACTTTATCCATTTTTCTCACAGCGAAAGAAGGTAATTTGCCAAATTTTCGGTTCTATTTGTCTGTATCGTGAGTTGGTATACAAAATGGACAAGCAACTGCACTGACACCTGGACCCAACACCGACGAGATTATTAATTAAAGTGATCTCATTAACACGAGAGGCAGCCAGCACTGCAGATGCTGATGATGACGCTAAAGTAAATATATGTATGTCAAGACAGTTGTGGTTTTGGATCAGCCACGAAACCTTGATAATTAAGAAATAATCTTCGAATGAAAGAGATGTTTATTTGGCCAAGTGTCAATAACCGAGTGAGCTTTCACTGTATTCAAATAGAATAATGCTTGTGGTACAAAATCGTGTCATAAGCCGTGTCCAAAATGGACACACGGCACCTCGGCCAATCATTCCCTGTATTCAAATAGAATAATGCTTGTGGTACAAAATCGTGTCCTAAGCCGTGTCCAAAATGGACACACGACACCTCGGCCAATCATTCCCTGTATTCAAATAGAATAATGCTTGTGGTACAAAATTGTGTCCTAAGTCGTGTCCAAAATGGACACACGACACCTCAACATTGGCCGAGACGCCTGCCATGCTGAGGTGCCATGTGTGGACACGGCTTTGTACCCGTAGCACAACCGACCCAAATATCATATTGGTCATCTTCATTCTCATTAACCCCTTTAAAGATGAGATTAACACGAGCTCCGAAGGGCGAAGAAAATGATAATATTTTCTTTTATTTAACTAAACAAAATTAATAATAAATCATATTTTCAGTTACGTACAACTCAATTAGAATGAGGACTTGTACTGTAATATTTCCAATTAATTAATAATGGAAGTCAAGAAATAAACACATTTTTTTCCTTTTTCTTTTATTGAATTTTCTACAGGTTGTCCTTTTTTAGTATTGTTCAATAAAAACCACTTAAAATGCACGTTTTTTCATACCTATATTTCTTAATGATAATATCCAAGGAAAACAAGAAAAAATAAAACCTTAAATATTCGTTAATTTGATTTTAATTCTAATAAGTAATAATTAACTAGACCACAAAACTGTCGAGTTGGACAGTTTTTAAAGATTAATAAAAAGAAATCCCATTAGTATGTTTTATTCCCTTCTATGTTCATTATTAATTGAATTTATTAACAGCATTTAATACGCAATTTACTATAGGGTTTTCCTCTTTGCATTCATTTGTCGAGGATATTCGTTAAATCAAAGTTAAGATTTAAGAGTGATTACGATGCCAAGTTGATTTTGTTTTTCGCTATAATATTATATTTGGTCTTTAAATAATATAGCAAATTGGTAAAAAGTGCTTTCAGCAACAAATAAAACATACAAATAGTATTATAACATGTGAATTTTAAACAAGATAATATTTTTTAGGAAAAACACAATGCAATTACTTTCTTTCTTGTAGAATAAATAAATAAATAAATAAAAATATTAGCTCCCAGACATAACTCGTTGGTACAAATAACAGAAATAAGATAATTTCAGCCGTAATGTGAGGGTTCGATTCCTGAGATATGAAATTGAACTCTTTATGGACACCTACGTACAAGCAAGCTCTTGTTCCTTGATCTGTTGAGGCACATCCTACGATTTACAAGCTCTAATCGCGAAATAGTGAGGACCCTTAGAGTTGTGGTTTAATCTTTGAAAATATGATTCTACAACGATAGCCGGCCCTGGCATGACTTTCAAATCATACATGAGAGAACGTCGATCAAAATAAATTTCTAGCTAGCTAAATAGGACAAGATTGAAGTAAAAAATATTTGGAAAAAGTAACTTCGTCAAAAATTGAAGCAAAAAGTAGGAACGTAGTACAGCTTTTATTTATGAACAGCAATATTCTTATTATGTTTATATACTGATGAATCCACGCTCAAGTCACCCACCGACAACATATTTAAGGGGAAAAAAATTATAATATTTCTACAAAAATAACATCCAAAATAATTTAAAAAGTAAAAATCCTAATACAATAATTATGTTCCTAACTAAGGGTAGACAATAAAGCCACGCTTAAGATAAGTGAGACTGTTGACACTGAAGAACTAAACGCCGGTGCTGATACTGCAGTATTAACGTTCGCCGAATTGTTACCGGAGTTCGGAGCAGTACCATTGGTCCCTGGAGGAGATAGACCTGGGGTGGTTGATAAAGGCGACGGTGAAGTTGAACTAGGCGTCGATGGAGTTGTGGTCGACGGCGATGGAGAGATTGCCGGCGTAGATGGTGTGTTGCCAGGACTTAATGGAGAGGTTGCCGGGGTAGATGGCATGTTGCCAGGACTTGCTGTAGAGGGCGATGGAGAGGTGGCTGTGGGAGATGGAGCGTTGCTATAGCTTGCAGGAGAGGGCGACGGAGAGGTGGCTTTGGGAGATGGAACGTTGCCATAGCTTGCAGGAGAGGGCGACGGAGAGGTTGCTATGGGAGATGGCACGTTGCCATGGCTTGATGGAGAGGGCGACGGAGAGGTTGCTGTGGGAGATGGCACGTTGCCATGGCTTGTTGGGGAAGGTGATGGAGAGGTAGCTCCTGGAGGTGGAAATTTGCCATGGCTTGCCGGAGAAGGTGACGGAGAGGTGGCCGTGGGAGATGGCACGTTACTATGACTTGCCGGAGAGGGTGACAATCCTGGTGTTAGGGCCGTTGGCGGTGGTGCTTTCCCTGCCGGAAATGGTGACATAGCTGGTCCAGATGGTGACCACGGAGAAAGTGACGGCGAACCTGGAGAAGACCCTTTTGGTGGCGAAGCACCTCCTTTCGGCGGCGGAGCCTTTCCTGGAACCGGCACAAAAGGTGGCTTGTTGTAGTTCCTTACAGCCAAAACAACAATAATCATCTTTTGACCTTTTTCACAAGACCCTTTATCTCCACTAATAAAATAAAAAGGCCCCGATCGATCAAACTTGAACACTGAATTTCCATCTTCCATCCTGATTATTGGCTTCTCTGTATTACACTTATCATAATCATCATTATTCACCACCAGCACAGAATCCATTCCTTTCTTGTATTTGAAAACTACAAGTACAACAACAAAGTTTCATTCAGACAAACAACAGAATCAAAAAGAACAGAAAATAAATAAGAAAGTAGCTCACAGAGAGTATCATTGACTTGGAATCTCATTCTTCCAGCCCAATGATTGTAATTTTCAGAAGGGTTCGAGACCCATCCACTCTTGCCTCCAACATTAAATTGATAAGCAAAAGAGCACCATGTAAAACAGGCAAAAGATAAAATAATAAACAGAGCAGAATCCATGGAGATATTGAAGGGTTTGGTGAGGTAATACAACAAAGCTAAAGAAATATTAGAGAGAGAAATGGAAACTGTAGAATGGTTGAGTATGGAAATGTAACTATATAGGGGTGAGTTAAGGTGGAATGGGGGGTTACTCTGTATGTAGAAGTTACCGTTGCAAGAAGAAGCAATTACGGCAATAAAGTTTGAGACATGAATATGTACAAATATGGGCTCCCCTATGTCGGTTTCTGTTTCTGCAATAGCGTTGAAAACTCAACGGTAACGAAAGATTGAAGTTGTGATATTGGAGTGGACAGGTGGACTCGTTTACATAAATGGGAGCCCACTGGGCCTTTGTTTCTTCAATAATCAAACTAAAATTTATTCATCACCAAACGTCTTTATTAACCGACTGATTATTTTTTTAAAAAAATAAAAAATAAAAAAATCTCTATTATTATTCTTCATGACCACAATAACTCACAAATTCCATTTTATTTGATACCAGAGAATCATATGAGATGAAATGTTCTCAAAGGATGATAATACCAATTATTCATGTAAGAATTACGATGTCATAATTCAAGTTGTATAAAAGTAAATTTATAAATTCATGCATGAGCTAATAGCTTAACAAGAAAGTGATCAGTAGCTAATTTGGGAAGATGATTAGCTACACTGGAATTGAGACATGATCTAGACTCCTAAGAGAGACAGTAGTGGAGAATTTTCTACAGTGGATAAAGTTTGATGGAGTAATACAACGTGGAGATAGAAGGTGAGAAGATAAATGGATATAATTTTAATTGAATTATAAATTGTAAGCATGCCTTGTGTCTGATTTTCTTTTTCTTTCTTTGTTTTTGTATTCATACCCAAGAAGAATTAATGATGCACGTATCGTTTTTCTACTTGCATTATTCAATTACTCCTACAATTGAAAAGGTATTGTTTATGTTGAGGCCAAGTTACAACTTTTGAAAGATCTTGGAATCTAGGTAGAGTTTTCTTGTGGTGTAGTGCTTGTACTATTTACGTTGATGCCAAATGGTCAACTTCTCGAATATTTCAAAATCTCTATATGCTTATAATTTGTATTTCACTATACAAATTTTGAGTATTGTGTACATGATTTGTTTTATATCAAACCAGATGTTCCTATTTAGGTTCGCCAAACGAAGTTCGGCTTTTTAGGCTAGTCTGCTTGAGATTCAAGATTGTGCCATTACAATACGATCGAGTCATTCTATCTTGATGCAACTTTCAATTTTTTGCCTTCAAAAATTTAATGGGATTTGGGGCCTGCCCCCTCCCTACATTCCTATTGCAAAGTGACATTCATTGCATTTATTTTGGTCGTTAACAATGGTGATGTGCTACTCGAGGTGACACATTGCAGCAGTAGATCAATGAGTTCCTTCCAACTCGGATAATGGTACAACAAACTGCATTTTAAGATCAAAAGTTTAGAGCAAGAATCGTTTTGGGTCTCATTCAGCGATTTGTATTATAATTGATTAAGGCCCAAAAATGAGCAAAAGCCCAGATTTATTGCCAAACACGGAATTCAATGGATTTTAGTTTGGTCAACACTCACATTAAGCCCAAACTTCACGGGCCTGTAAAAGAATTTAATGGGTTTTAGTTTGATCCATTGTCGCATTTGATGTAATGGCATATGCCAATATCTGCTTGAGAAGGGTAAACTTCATCCGCGGTCACTGAAGTTTCAGAAAAATTTCAATTACTAAAGTAAGTGATTCATAAAAATATATAAGTAAAAATGGAACGATAAAGGATATTTAAATCTATGTCCCGTCTCTCAAAAATCCTCGACTGGTGGAGATAGGGTGGATCGTCGCATTGTCATCTCTACAAGATCAATTAAAATATTACTGCCAATTAAACATTTTTTACCGATTTAGGAGATGGCATGGGACGATGTAGTGAAAAATTAATATTTAGTTACCTAATTTGAAATTAAATTGAAGTTGAGTGATTCAATTGAAAAATAATAAAATTTAGTAACCCAATTAAAATTTCATTGAAAGGTCGAGACGGCATATTAAATTTACCCACATGAGATGATTGTATCAGTCACTCCACTTAACTTTTAGATAGGTTTCAAGCTAGTTGATATCAAGTTTGAAATACATTGAAGCACACTAACCTCAAATATTGTATTTATTATTAATTAGATAAAACTTGCTTCATTAAATATTAACCTTATTTCGATCTCATTCCTCTCACATCAAGCTCAAAAGCATACTTTCCTTTCTAATCAAATAAAATAAATAAATTTCCCACTTCGCCTCCATTCCAACTTGTTGTATTTTTTATTTTTTAGTGAACTTCACTATTATAGAATGGCACTAATTGGTTAGATTAAGCCCTTGTTTGTTTCCTATTCTTTTCACATTAAAATGAAAAATATGACCATTTTCCATCATATCAAATTATCAAATTTGAATTTTTATCTCTTATGTGGAGTCCTTAACGACTATATTTTTCATTCTCGTTCTAACCAAAATGAGAAACAAATCGGACCTAATAAAGTGAATTAGAGTGGGATGGCTAACTTTATGAAAAGTATCGCATGTCAAATGGTTATAATTGATGTGGATGATTGTCGATTCCACTCAGTTCAAAGCTTACCAAGGAAGTTCCAATTCTTGATATCATATGGGGCCAATATGCCATCTTTAAACTCATGCAAATCCCCCGCAGCCTTAGAATAAATAAAGTGATAAATAAGAAAAGAAGTGCTTGCTAGCGCACACAAACACACAAGATTGGCTAGGATACCTTCAAAATCCTATTCAAGGTAATCATTTGGGGATTTTCTTTCTTTATATAATTATCAGCTTAAGAGGTACTATGGCCCTATGGGCAAGTAGTTTCTATTTCTCCAACTATTCATGTCTTACATTCGTTGAAAAATTGAATTTGAATTTTTTTTTTTACTTATATTTCGATGTTATAATTTATGATTTCGAATAACTTTTGGATCCTAACGTTTGTTTACATACTTGTAAATTGGTGGTGTAGAAACTTGGCTCGATAAAGATAAATAAGGACATGGGTGTTTACTAAGCTTTGACGTGTAAATTTAAATAGTAATAACTATAACTCGACAGAGTTTCTATAGATGCAAGTAATTTTGCTTATATGGAAAAAATAACTACCTTGTCAATAGAAAAGATTATGAATTGTATTCATTCTGAGACGTTAGAGATTGTTTTTGTCAATATACAAATTCCTTGAATTTCTATTGTGCATTGCGTTTGTACATAGGTCTTTCAAATTATTTAATGGCGTCGCGTTG